TAGGCAACAATGCATTTCGGTTCAGGACAAGTCTGTGTTGCACCGTGTTTTGTATGTGTGCACTGGGAGTTTGAGGAGGTTATTTATAAGTGAATGTGGTCTGAAAACCGAGACCTGAGGATCAGTAAGGAAATTATTATTACTGTGGTTGTTCTTCTGCAATTTTCTTTACTGTCTTTGGTGTCAGTGGCAGTGGTAGAGAAGGACTAAAGGAGGCCCTGGCAGCAATTACCAGGCAGGGGGCAGGGATGGAAATCAGCTGACTCTTATCACACACCTTCATGTTCCTTGCAACTCTGTATGCGATGGCCCCACTCTGTTGTCATGAAGCTAAAGGTAGAAAAACACCTGGTATGGATGAAAGTCCTGGCAATGATGTTGGTCCAGGTGTCAGGTGATAAGTTACAAGCACAAAGACCATACAACAATTCAAGAGGAAGTTAAGAACTCATAATTTGGGGGGTGTTTATGCTGTCCTGTAAAAAAAATAGATAACAGCTGCCAGAATCTATAGCTATGACCACAGCTATCAAAATAAGTTTAGTTGTTTTTCTCTTCTGGTAAAACAAGCAAGCTTTGTTAGACCCCAACTCCATGGGGTACCCAACAACTAGGGAGACGACGAGCCAATCGCCCATGAATTCTGTTACTCACTAGCCAGATCAAGCAGGGAGCAAACACTACTTGCACACATTGCTTGCAACAGCTTTGTTCAGAATGGAGACAGCTTCGGACAAAGGTCCCAAAAAACAGCAAACTGGGGACCTGCACTGAACAATAGTTTTTTTCCCCCAAATTTATACACTTTGGTTTAGGTTCATTAACATTCACTCCACCTCCATCCCTGTTTCACCACTTCTATCTCAAGCTCCTCCTCTGTTTACTGTTTGCTTCATTAACACGGAATTGCCTATGCATTTTATTCATTTACATGTCTTTTTGCTATGAGCACGTCTAAGACCTTGACTCCTTTTCTTCAGTCAATGGGCAGACTTTGACCAAAACCTGGAAGCTTCTTCACCAATCACCATTCACCTTTTTGCATATGTTCATTTTGGATTTTGTTACCCATTACGTGTTGTTTTTTCACATTCCAATCTGTTTTTGTCTCAGGTTGTACCATCTCCACCTTTTTGGGCCCCTGTACCTTATCTCATTCCTAACTGTAGCTGGTTCACAGCACACAGACTTATTTGCTGCTTTTTCCAGAAAAATGGTTTACACAATTAAGATGGTTACTTAACATGAGCACTGATAAGCAAAATCTTATATAAAAGCTATATGTATATATATATATATATATATATAAATAAAAGTAACTTTGCGAAGTCACTTTATACTTTAAGCTGCTGACCGCAAGGCAGAATGATATATATATAGAGAGAGAGAGAGAGAGAGAGAGAGAGAGATCTTTATATATCTATGTCTCTCCCTATATATCTCTATATCTCTATATAGAGATATGTATATATATCGTTCTGCCTTGAGGTCAGCAGCTTTGCTGAGACACAGATTAAAGCCTTGTTCCAGCTGTAGGTCCAATGCTGCCCCAAAATCCACATAGAGTTACTCTAACAAGCTTGGGCTACTATCTGCTGATATCTCTACCCCTACATTCAAAAGTCCCTCAAAAACTTCACAAATTGCCTTCAATACCTGTGACAGCTCTTAAAATTTGTTTTATTGAGGAAATCATTAGTAAATATAAAGGTATGCACTGTGTATCAATAGCAAGGCAATTAAGTCATTTGACTTAATTGATCAAATGATGCCCTGATGTCTATGAAATCGCCCTGATGTCTATGAAATCTATGGGGGGCTGGACTCGATGATCTTTCGAGGTCCCTTCCAGCCCTGATGTCTATGACAACACTGATGATTAAGCTTCCCATTGATCAAACAGCAACTCACTGATGTTAATTTACATATTTACTGGTATATTTTTGTAATGAATATTTTGAAGAAATCTCCATGAACAGGATAGATTTACACTGTGTAAAAAGGTGCTATTATTGTAGAGAGTATATAGCACAAGACTGCCCTAGCAATAGTCTATGTAAATGTATAAATACATATGTAAGCTATATAAATGTATATAGCTTATTCACTTCTCATTTGGAAATGTTTCCATTTTTCCAAACATATTCACTGAGCTTTTCTTTTTCAGGTATAGCTTTATAGCATGGGTGACTCAAAGTGAACTTGTGAGGGCAAATTATTTACATGTGCCATGGTTAAATAATATAGTAAGCCAATGTCTGATCTAAGTTTTCAATTGTTAGGATACGCTGAATGCCAACAGAGAGGAAACAGATATCAAAATAAATGTTAGAACTGCAGGGAGGAAAACAAGTTGTTGGTATGATGTTGGATTGTTCCTTAATAAACTCCTTCAGGACAGGAATAATTAAGAGGATTAATAGGATCCTAGTGATATTATGAAAAAGTCAAGAATATTTGTTTTAGAATATCTCTTTTAATTAACTGCAGAAATGTGTTGAGAGTAATAATTAAGGATCTGGAGATAAATGAAAACAGTAAGACCTGCTCTATTATTTATACAGTGGCACTGGTATGTGTGGTATTTTAACAGGCATCAGAAAATAGGGTTAGTATTTTTAGCATTTACTAGTAAAATGGGGGCTGGGGTGGCACAGGCACTAAGGCACAGGGTTGACAGTCCAGAGGTCACAAATTCAAGGCCACAGCAGAACGGCCGCAGCCTGTCAGATGCCAAACAAAATCTGCAAATTCTGCTAAATGCCTTGTCGCAAGGGCATGAAAAAGGGACAGGTAAAACAGGTCCAAAATCAGGGGGGGAAAAAGAGCACAAGCTTAAATGAAAGTACCTGTCCTGTCCCATTCAGCAAACCACCTACGCAAGTGATAAAGTACTTCTTCAAGTACAGTTGGGAGTTGATGCAAATTTAATACGTGTTTAAAGTTAATCCCACGATTCAGTGCTTTGATGAATCATGGCTGCTGGGGGCTGGAAAAAGAATCATTTTAATTAACAGAATTTTTTTTCTGGTTTTTTTTTTGGTTGTTGTTAAAAGGAACAATTAAAAGGGAAAAAAAAAACACAACCTGTTATGGTCAACCAAACTGTTTTTCCCCCCCGCTATGTTTTCAATTAGTTCAGCAAATGAAAAAGTAATTATTTTCTTCATGGTAGCAAAACAGAGGGAAAGAAGAAAAATGCCACCCAGGAAGAAAATACAGATTTTTCATTTGCTTAGTGTATTTGAAGCATCTCAGACTCCTTCCAACGGTACCTCTAACCACCAGCCAGCCCTCTCTGACACTTCTTCACATACTCCAATAATCTTTTATCAGCATTGGAGCTTTCTAGCTGGCTGATTTGATTTGAAGTCTTTTGTATAGTGAATTAATTTTCCCAAAATTTCTTATTCACTGCTTCCCAGAATAACTTCTTCTGGAACTCCAGAAACACTGACATTTTCCTGGAAGATTGATTTGCATATACTGTAAGATTATATTGTTGTCCCAGACAAAATTCTCAGCTGTGATAGTACACTTGGTGACAAGTTAATATTACAGGCACATGGAGATATCATCTTCAATTATAGCAGAGTATTAATCTACAAACAGAGGAAACATTCCCCCAGTTTGTGCAAAGAAAAAACCACAAATACACTTTCCTAAATAGAGGCTGTTGGTAGGTGACATTCATAAGCAGAGCTGATAACAAATTAAGAAAGATTAGGTGGGTCTACTTAATTCTGTGGTATGGATTTCACTAAACGGAACAAAAAAACAGACCCGTCTAGCACAACCAATGTGTATATGGTTGTTATTTTTGGATTAAGCTATCGTAATAGGCATAAGCCTATCTGCAGCCCTGCATCTGAATGCTCACAGCTTGTACAGAATTCAAATTCCCCCAGAAACGGACATTGCAATGAACATTTACTTAGAAAATTGCTTTTTCTTACATTGAATCAAAAATTCACAAAAATGTGAGCAGTAGCCCTCTATGGACTCTGTCAATGAACAAGCATCTGGGAAAAAAAAAGTTTTTTCCAACTTTCCTCCATATTTACATGCTGTCCTTGTATACTGAACTTTTTGTATCTTTGTTAAAATAATTCTATAGGAAAGCCAGCGTTTCACAGCAGAGAATGAAATATTCTTTAAATTGCCATTTACCTGAAGAAAATGACATTTCCTGAGATTTGACTTTTATGAAAATTGTCAGTTACCAGCATCCTGGCAAATCACTCCAGCTTTAGGACGACACCAATATACATTCATGCATTGCTGGTATTCAATCGGCTCAATAGTGTTAAGTACACAAGAGACGCTTGTTATTCTCTAGCTATCAAATACCACAGTTCTTCACTTCCAGGGTTAGATTACATTTCCTCAACTTTACTTATCTTAAAGTTGCATATGCCACAAAGCAGCACAAACCCAAAGGTCCTGGCAATACTTCGGTACCCATTTTTAAACACTGATAGGATGGAATTTGATTTCTCCTGACTTTATAATCCCAAAGGATTTCCACTGCCATGTCCAAACCAACCCATTTAATTACCTGGAAACATGATATCACATAATAGAGAAAACAGTGGTGGTCATTGGGAACCTATGACTTATTATGCATCAATGACTGAGAAGAATGTGTGTTTTAGGTAATTATCTATTTTGCTATAATAACCATTTTTTAAAAATACAGTTCTCTTTTTTAATTTCAGTTTTTCTCATACCATTTCCAGCTTGAATAGGCTCTGTTCTCAGAATGAGAAGGTCCTTCTCATTATTTAAACCTTTAAAATATTTATTTTCCCTAGAGAGGAGAAAAAAGTGTCTGTTTAAGCATAGCCTTCAGAACCGAGTTTGGACATCTTTTCCCTCCTTCTCTGGGAGCAGACAGAAGGGCTGTGAGCAAATACTCTATAGCATCATGTTAAAATGTGCACCTACAGCCTGCCATAAGCAAATCACACTCTTATGTTGTAATGGTAAAAGCTTCTTACCATAATAGGTGAGACGTCCTCTGGCAATGTTTTTCCCTCTTGAGTTTTCGGTAATACACTCATAAAGCCCTGCATCTTCCTGCTGGAAATTGGGGATTTCAATCATGCCATTAGATTTCCTCAGTTTTACTTTACTTGGAAATGGCAGGCCATCAGTCCTTCTCCAGTTTATCTGAGGCACAGGGCTTAAAAAAAAAAAAAAAAGAAATCATGGGATTATGCACTGTTTGTAACGGCTGGTAGAATACTGTAGTAAATGATTTGTAAATATGTGACCTTTTCCCATTGATTATTACTTATGGCATCAAATTATTCAGTACTCATGAGTGAAAGACCTCCGTTTCTGGCTGCAATGGTGTTTCAACACTTTGCTCTTAATTGTCATTGGATAAAATGGATACACAGCAGCAGGACAGCTTCTACCCCATTGGGAGAAGGTGGAAGAACTCAGGGCCCCCTCCCCTGCAGGGCAGTGCCCATCTCTTTGTTTTACTCTTCTCCTCCTCCTCCCCATATCTTCCCCTTTGGCTGCCCAATAAGCTAGTTTTAGCAGCAGGCATGGAGGGAGCTCTTGGCTCCCTTGTGGGCAGTGACCTTTGTTCAGGATACTTCACTGGGAAGTGGGTAAGACCCAAGACCCTTTCAGGGGGGCGAAGGGGAAGATAAGACAGAGGGCATAATTTGGGTCTTCTCCTTCCTAGCCAAGTGCCCTAACCACTAGGCTACTGGCCTAATAGCTAGGAGAGTCCGCTTGTTCCTCCATTTTGACACTTACACAGTATTAGGTGTCATTTTAGGGGAGTGGAATCAAAATGGGTATAAGTGACTCCAAATACTACTAACATGGCTAACTCAGCTATGTAAGTGCTCCGGGTAGAGTTGGGTAACTTTTAGCCAAAAAAAATTCTTTGTACACCTGGTCTCCTATGTATGCGTGGAAGCAAGTGCCTTGCCCACTCCTATGATCCAGATTGGTTTTGAGGAACAAACTCAATACTTAACTCTTGATTCAGATTCCTTAAGTGAGCTCAGAGCCTGTTAGGCAGTTGTTTGATGCTAAGAGCATGCATGCAGATCAACAGAAAACCGAAGTCATGGTGGTGATAGTGGCCAGCACTATTTATGTTTTTACATTCAACATTCATTGTTGCACAATGCATAAATAGTTCTGGCAGTTGGGGCTGCAACTCAAGACTCTCCCTTCCAGTGGAGCGCCACAGCTACTAGGTTACAAAGTCACACTCCTTCTCATTTGTTCACCTTCTGGCCTCATAAATCCTTCTCAGTTGGCCAACCTTCCCAGAAGGGGCGGTGGGGACTCCGTCACTCAACCTAATGTAGAGCTAGGTGGTCATGGCACTGCCCTGGAACATGGAAGATGTGTATGTGTTTAATTCCCCTCAAAGTGAGGAGAGCCTTGAAACCAGGCCTTGTACACAGAGGGTGCACCTACACGAGATGCTTGCCATGCAGTGGCCTAATAGCACTGTGCATGCCAGTCAAAAACTGTGCTAATACACTACTGAGAGGTCTTATTGGGCTACTGTGCAGTGTCACAAAAAAACTCCATGCACCAACACTACTGAGCAGTAACTGTAGTTACTGCACATTTAGTTAGTACTAAACTAACTAAGTTTAGTACTAAGTTTAGTACATTAAGTACTAAACTTAATACTAAGTACTAAGTACTAAGTACTAAACTTAGTACTAACTAAGTTTAGTACATTAAGTACTAAACTGAATGTGCAGCAACTACTGTGCATTAATGAACATGTAGACATGTCCACACAGTAGCAATAGATTGAGTAAGTTCAATGTCCCATTGTAATGATTTAGTTCAAGATACCTTGCAGTCGCATTTAAATTGTGGTATTGCCTGCATGCATTTTGAATAAAAAATACCATTTTTTTAATTGCCTTATGTCAACAACTGTGAGGGCCAAATAGGAACAGCAAACAAATGATGCCCAGAAGGATTATGGTACCTCCTCACCTGCTGTCTGATTTAACTGTGGCATTCCTAAGGACTGCAAGGTTAATGAAGCACGCAAGGACTTACTTTCCCAGGGCAAAGCATTCCAGTTTCACCGTTGAACCTTTAGCTGCAGGCAGTGTCTCAGGAAACTGAACTTCTATTTTAGGTTCATATTCACCCATCACACCTGTTTATTACAATAAAGGAAAAAGGCCAGTCATTTTTATTGGTAATGCTCTTCCGCCATTTTCAGCATTACATCAAGTTTGGTTCAAAGTAGCCACACATCCAATGCACACTGCTTAAAAAAACAACAACTGGGGAGCCAATGCATGCTTCCAATGACCCATGGGAAAAAATTCTTTAGGTGTACAGTAGTTTATAGTCAGCACAAATTGTTTGATTAGTAACTACTATTCTTAAATATGGTGACATTGCATCATGTGCAACAAACATGTATTGACCAGCAGCTCTATAAGCACAGTTGAAGTTAGCAGTTTTAATGAGAACCACTAGAAGAACAAAGTCCTACCATCAGTGCGCAGCACCAGAGGAGTCGGGGAACCAAGCACCCTGCTGTTCGTTACGGTGCTGGTCACCACGCAGGTGTAATTTCCTACATCTGAGGGCTCCACTTTGGCTATGTAGAGATGCCCCGTCTCTTGGGACACAAATCGTCGACTGTCCTCTTGCACAAACGATGGATATTCATTGAAGATCCATGCAAACGACAGTACTAAGGTGTGTTAGAAAAAGAAATTGGTAAGCAGGATCATCAAGGCGCTAAATGACTTTTATCATTTCTATAGAACTAAAAGGCTATTATAAAGAGCCTCACAACTTATTGTCCATCACCACAAATATTTCTATGCCTGGATGTAGGGTAGAGTCTTAATATAATTATTTACACTTCAGTTTAGACTAACTATATATATATATATATATATACACACACACACACACACACATATATATATATATATGTGGGCATGTCTACATGTCACACACACACACACACACACATATATATATATATTATTAGCCTGTTCCTCATCATATATATATTAGCCTGTTCGTCATCTATTAACTGCTATTAACTGCTTTAGGTACATTGTGTATGAACTGGTACTATGAACTACTCCATGACTGTAAATGCTTTTACAAGTGGAGGCTCATATGATGTTTCTCCCTTAGCTTTTGGTGAACTCTGAGTACCAGGAATATACGCACTTACAAAGAGAAGTAAAAGGGATTCAGCATAAGCATATACATTTAGGAAAAAAAAATATAAGTATCTACATATTTAAATAATGCCGGAGAACAAGTGTTTTAAGAGCAGCTGATTCTCCTGTTAGTCTTTGCTTCTCAATGACCTGGAATGTATGGAAGGAGAAATAGCAATCACAAGAAAAAAGAAAACAAAAACAGCTCAACAGTGGAAATATTGTTCATTCAGTAACGTACAAAACATGGGCCAGATACTTAACAAAAGTAAATTGGCATTGTTTTATGCAAATAAAAAAAAAATGTTAATTTACATTAGCTAAAAATCTGACCCAACTACCTCTTAACTAGAGAATACCCACTTGTTGAATAGGCGAGACAGAGGGCTGGTAGAGCTGGCAGTTTGAAAAGACTTTTTTTTTTATACCAAGGTGCACAAATTTGATGTGGAATTGCCCACATTTTCAGAGTAACTTTAAAGATGAGCTGCATTTTAAGGAATAAATTTAAACCCAAGATTAGATCTGACAAAAATTACAATTACAATGTAATTCACTTTTACCGATCACTGCTCATAGAGAACAGGCAGCTGTGTAAGAAATTTCACTGTGCAAAAGCTATTTTCCTATGTGAGCTGCTGTGCTTGCCTTTCACCCATATCCATCAGAATCAGAAAAGGAATTATTTTTTTTAATGATGTTCCAGGCAAGAAATAGTTTTTTACCCTCCTGAATGCTGCTCACCTTTTTTTTTTTTTTTTTTTTTAAATGGACAGCTTCTGTAAGTGCTAATTAGAGTCAATTATAGTTTGATTGACCTGTCTTGGTATTAAAATATCTTGCAGCTTTTTCTTTGCTCTTTCAAAATGGAAATTATCCCTTTCTGCACATGTCAATTTGGAAGGCCATAGTTGTGGAGAAAGTTAGAATGGGAATTTTATATAATCCTGATTTTGAGGATGTGCACAAGAAAACAGGGAATCCACAGCACAATGTCACAACATTTAAGATGATGTGCATGGGAAAACTTGCAATAAAAGAAGTGATTAATATATTTATAGACTGATTAATTCAAAGGCAACATCAAACTATGGAAACGTCATAATTAAGTTAAATGTCTTTTATTACTGTTTAAACTCCTTTCATTAGCAAAGTCATAGCAAACATTAACAGCTGCACCTTTGCTTTCTGTTGAGTCTAAATTAATTTGCAAACATTTGGCCTGTGTTATATTGGGATGTGTTTGTTACTGGAAATATGTAGCCAAGAGTCCGAAAAAACCCTTTAGTCTCTTTAGACGATACAAAAGTTTGTTTAAGAGCTTTCTCTTTTTCAGCACAGTCCTGCTGTGTGAAATTAAACCGATATATTTGTTTTAGTGTTCCTAAATGGGCACGCTTATGCCAGTATAAATGTCCTCGCAGTGAGGTTTATACTGCTATAACTCTATTAGTATATCCGGTCAAACTTTTCTATATAGCCGAATTCAAAAGACAAAGATACAATTTATTTTAAAGGGAGCATTACTGGATGAAATCCTATGAAGTGTGGCATGGAAGAAGTCAGATTAGATATGTATATATTCAAAGTTCAAACTAGCCTACAAGAGCCTAACTCTGCTCTCAAATGAAGCCAATGGGAGTTTTACCAAGGAACTGGAGCTCCTTAACAATGAATACTTTCAAAAAATGTCCCCAAAATGTATTAGATAATTGTTCTGTAAGACAGAAATACCTCTACACCTACCTGGTATTCAGAGTCCTATAGGATAAGTGCAGCAGTCAACCTTAACAAGAGATGCATAGTGGAGGAAGGAGATGGGGGAAGCATTGTTATTATAACGTGTTAAATAAGTCCATGCGTTCCCCACCTTCATATGTTAATAGTGTAACTATAAATACTGGTAGGTTCAACAAGTGCTGGCTGTACGAGGCCATTAAAGGGATTTCTACCTAAAAGAAAGGTAAATGGAAAGCTTTTCTGGAATTCAAATACTCTGTGCAGGAGGAGCTTTGGCTGAGTGTCTTTGGGAAATGGTGGGCGAGACATTGCTCAGAGGAGAATGAATAACAACGTAACCTTAAGCGAAGACAGAAGGCAGCATCAATGCATCCTGAAACTTATTTTTGTATTTATTTGTGCATTTTTTATATGCCTGGTGCATGACCCTAGCAGATGTCTGAACAGTAGGGTTTGGGGTCAGACAGCTAGCTGAAAACAGTATGGAGCAACGAGCAGGGAAACTGTCTCTAGTTGTTGGATTCCTTTTATGTTCACAAAACAGTACTTTGTATAATCTTGGAAACAAACAGAACTACATTAAAGGCACGTGACTTTGTCATTAGTTTTTCCTCCAAACTGGAATAGCCTGCTGGAAATTTGGCCAGCTGTGTGTGTCAAGAGGGTAGTGTTATAGGGCTACAGTAAACCCATACTGTGGAGGGTAGGGTTACAATACGTCTGGCTTTTCCTGGACATGTCCTCTTTTTTGGCCCCCTGTCCTCCATCCAGGTGGGTTTGTAAAATGCAAGCAAGTATCTGGGTTTTTGCTCTGCTTCTACTTTTCTCTGGCACTACCAGTTTAGCTGCTTGGGGCTGGGGGCAGTGGGGAAAGGTGATTGGCTGTTGGGGATCACATGCTCTGCACACCGGTCCTAGCAGCTGCTGACAGGCGAGATTGACACAAAGACACCTGTGAGTTGGGAGTGAGGGGCACGGGCAGAGCTGGGGAGGGAGGGGGCTGAGGGTTGGAAGGAGCACCAGCACAGCTGGGGAGGGAGGGGGCTGTGGGTTGGGAGGAAGGGGCATCGGCAGACCCAGGGGTAGAGTGGGTCAGGAGTGAGAGGCAGCAGCAGGGCTGGGGGGGCTATGGCTTAGAAGTTAGGGGCAGGGGCAGGGCATGGGCATATCATTGCTCCCCCCACCCCCAGGTGTTGCCATATTGCCAGTATAAGGAAAAAAAAAAAAAAAAGGACCTTAGAGGGCCTTACTCTGCCTCCTCACCCACTACAAAGCACCACTTGGAGTGGCAGCATTGGGCCCGTGCTGATTTCATTTCCTTTGCTATCTAAGACAAACAGACATTTGCTTTATGTGAACTACTGAAATCCACTGACATTTATTCCTCAGTACCGTGGCTTTTGAAAGCCACTCTGGCATTTACATATTTTAACAATGACTAGCTTTGTGCTGGGTTGGAACTACATGCAATGTGACCTTTTATGTGGAATGCAGTGATCCTAAGGAGAAAGTGCATCCATTCAACTGAGGGCCCAAACGATGCGAAAAAGGCCTACCCGGTGCAGGCCGAGGGCACTGGAACCTTTCCAGAAGCCAAAGGGTTAGGTCTGTTTATGTATTGTGATGCGTTAAAAAAGGAGAAAACCTTAGTTCTGCTTTGCGCTCACTTTATTTTTTCATTTCCCTTCTTTCTGGGTCTGGTTTTGATGATTTCCTCTCATCTCCCCTTATCTCATTTCCCAGTCTTTTATACCATCTCTTCCTTTACCCCCTTTCCTATTAGGACCTGTGGTAAATTGCCTCACAATCCTTATCTAAAATAGGAGAGAAACCCTGTTTTATTTTTTTCCTCTCCTTTTCTTTCCTTTAATCTCAGCATATAGCTCAATGCTAGAGAAGGGCAAATGGCACAGAGTTTAGATCAGACTCCTCAATTTATCCAGAGTTCAGGAGTGCCATCCTGTAGAATGGAATAAAATGGTGACCTTTCTATAGCTTATTTTTTAAAGCCTCCTCTTCAAGAGCTCATGGAGGACAAAAGTAGTCCTGGAGTACCGGGGAAGGGTAAACACTATGTCTCTCTCTAAAAAGGGGAGAAAAGGGGACCTGGGGAATTACAGACAAGTTAGCCCAACTTTGATTCTTGGAAAGATACTGAAACAAATTATTAAACAATCCGTTTGTAAGCAGTGAGAAGATAATAAGGTGATAAGAAAAACCAACATAAAGTTGTCAAGGACAAATCATGTCAACCAGTAGATATATGTCTAAGTCAGCAAGACTTTTGCTGCAGGCCCACATTGCATTTCAAGCAAAACAGAGAACTACAGCGTAGATAAAACTCCTATAAGGTGCATGCACATGGGTTGAAAGAAAAACAAATGCAAGGGCAATTATCAATGGCTTATTTTCAAACTGGGAGGATATATCCAGTAATGCCCAACAGGGTTTGGTAGCAGAAACTATTTTCATTAATTGTTTGGATGATGTGTAGATTACATGTATATTAGATACCCATTTCTATAATATCGGAGGGCTTGTATTTGGGAGGACAAGATTGGATGATCCTGATATATTCGTTAAAAAGCCTGAAGTCAACAAGATTAAATTCCAGAAAAAACAAGCACAAAGTACTATGCTCTGGATGCATAAAATGGGAAGAATGGACGAGGCAGCACGGCTACAGAAAAGTTCTGGGGATTATGGTGGACTACACATGACATGAGAAGATATCGCAAAAAAGGGAAACATATGAAAATGTGGGAGATTATTT